CGACTAATCATGGCAGCCGTATTGTGTTGACAATTTGAATTGTGTAAACCGTGACGACGGATTAACACGTGTTAACATGTTAATGTTGACAGCCTGGTAGAAATCTCAGTTTCTACAGTTTGAAGCGACTTTTTTGTTTGATGTTTTTATTAATGTTCAAATAAACACTGTGAGCCGAGAGCACAAACATGCTGAGCCATCGGCTGAAAAAAGGTTTGTTGGTATCCAATATTTGACATTTAAAAAAACAAAACTACATTTTAGCCGAGCTTGAATCAAAGTTCAGTTTTCATCTCAACTCTTGTTTTCCAGCTGAGGAAAGCAGAAAACTGTCATTTAGGCCACAGCTCAGGATGAGGCAACTAAAACACTATATTATCTGCAGTTACCTCTAACCACAGCGTGCTACTGCTACTGTGACCTGTTTACTGCTGTCTCAGGACCTGAACACAAAGGTAGCTTCCCATCAGCCATGAAACACACTGGGAATGACATCCTGTCTTATCCCGTTGTGGGAACAGATGATTTTGTGCTAAGCGGCTCATTGCTGTGCAGATCCACACGCGTCCTTTGTGTCGGTGTGGCAGAGGCTGACACGCCTGCATGTGCAGAAGCCTCCAGAGTGACAAACAGTGTGTAATGTGGGAAACCTTTGTGACGTGAAACGTGTGCGACTGTGCAGCTGGCGGCTGAGACGAGCGAGGCTGCAGACCGAGGAGTTCAGCCCGGAGCAGCGGCGCCGCCTGCTGGAGAAGCTGCAGCCTGCAGCACCGACGTCAGGTGATCTGCTCTTTTATGTACTCGGATACTTCAGAAACATTCAGCTCATCCAAGTTTTCATGAGGTGACTTTAAAAGTCAACTTGTGGACAGAAAAACAGTTTGTAGAATATTTGTGGTTAAACGGAGATCGTTGCTTTTAGTGCCTCGTGTAGAGGACACGCCCACGTGCACGGAGCTGGTAATTAAACTCACTGATGTGTTCACAGTGGGCAGTCTGCAGCAGGAGTCCTCTCTCTGTCCTCTTCCTCCACACTCATGGAGATCCTGGAAGCGATCAAACATCCCACGTAAGAT